AAAATGCCGGGCAGCGCCTAGGCGGCAGGGGGGCCTGAAACCTATGTTGAAGAAGAGGAATGGGGGGCAGGGGAATATGAGTATCCATCATAAATATTAAAAATCTCAAAATCCAAAAAATTCTAAACCCTTGTATGTTCGTAATAGATAGACTACTAGCACAAACAAAAATAAAATATAATTAGTAACTAATAAATTAGTAATACAAGCAGCACAATTCATAATCCATACTCCATAGACCATACTCCATGCTCCATAATTCATAATCATACCATTACATATTCCATATTTTCATACAATGATACAACCACACACACATATGCACAAGAGTAGATAGTAGAAACTAGAAAACAAGAAAAAATAAATATACAGTCTAAAACTCAACACCAAGAGTCAAGTGTCTTCAATCATCGTCATCATCATCAGAAGGAGAAGGGTAAGCCCCATCATATGCATCGGATTCGAGGCCATCATCATCAGAGTCATTGCCCTCTTCAACACAACACTCATCCTCCTCTATTTCTTTCGAATCTGCATCTTTCCTCCTCTTCTTCTATCCCACTCTTACTCTATACAGATGAGTCTCTAGGAGTCTTGACTCCTCTACCTGATGCCTCCTCACCCTTTTCTTGCTTTTCGAGTTTCACTAAACTCAAATATTTTTTAATCTCCTCCTAGTAGCCTCAAGAACATTCTTACACGGCGCAACATCCCCCTTAATACTAACAAGGTGTTTCATGAACCGCTATTTACGCCCACGAGAATCATTTTCACCCACGAGAATCATTTCCACAATAATTACACATTATACAATATTTGTCATTCTGATTCAGGTTATGACCATATTTCCAACCCGGATCACCATTTCTAGAAGAACTTCGGAAAGATATTTCCATATAACAAAGTTTATTTACTTCCTTTTCTGGTTTTACTAAACTCAGATATTGCCTAATCCCATCCCTAATAGCTTCAGAAACCTTTTTATAAGAAGCAACATTCTCTTTAATAATGGCTAGCCGTTTCTTAAATTGGTTAATACCCTTATTAGTATCTTTTCCACAAAAATTACACCTTGTAGAATATTTATCGTTTGGTTTCGCGTTATAACCATACTTCCAACCTGAATGACATCTTGTAGTCGAATCAGAAATTGACCTATCCAATTGATAAGCATATGTTCTTGTTTGTGTTTTATTGAACTCATATATTTCTTAATCTCCTCTCTGATAGCTTCAGGAACATTTTTATAAGGGGCAACATTCCCCCTAATATCGGTAAGATGTTTCTTAAACCAGTTTATGCTCCATTTTGTATCCTTTTCAGAATAATTGCATCTTACATAATTTTTATCCAAAGGATTCGGGTTATAGTCACATTTCCAACCCGAATCACCACTTTGATTAGATCCTGAAGAGAAAATCTCAAAATAATACAAGCAATCTAAAAAATAAAATTTTTTACTCACTTTGATTGCTCGATCTCCAAACTTCCACCTCTGAGATGTTTTTTAGTGTCAAAATCTTCTAAAACACCCTCTAGTAGACCTATAAAACCTCCAAAATTAAATCTAATCTCAATGGGTGATGTGTAGACCGATTTCTCGTAACTTTGAGAAACCCTTCAATCCTATGAAAATTACAAAAAATTGGCATTTTAAGGTTGTTTTCTCTCTAAAATAGGCTCCAATGGGGTTTAGGTTTTAAATGAACCTAAAACCAACCCTTATCCCCTTCTTTTATTCAAAAAAAAGCCCAAAAATGCCTCTCAAAGAAGGGCATTTCCACCCCTGAGCAGCATGCAGGCTCTGAGCGGCCGCCCAAGGCTAAGTGATGGGTTGTGCCCTAATGCCTAGGCCCTCGCCTATATGCAGGCCGCCTACGCCTAGGCGAGGAACCCAGGCCCTCTGGATTGCCTAAGTGCTGGGCGGTTCGCCTTATTAGAACACTGACGTACAGCAAGGAAGCATAATACAAAAGAAAGACCATCTAGGTTCGATGGAAGGCGGTTAAAAACCTCAAAGATAAGCATTGGTGTGATTTTAGAAGGAAAGATTCAACAAAGAAACTAAGGCTCCTCTTATATTGTGAATAAAAATAGAGATAGAGATCAAAAGGTCTCAAATCATTTAACCAAGGCTAAAGGGGTGTAACATAGGCATGTGAAGAAGAAATTCACAAATTGTACAAGAATCAGTTGAAGCATTGGAGTGTCCATTATTTTATTTTTTTCATTCTTTTAAACTTTAGTAGTACTAGAATGATCCCTCTTAACCAGTGTTCCAAAAAATGTTAGGCGCGCCTAGATGATATGGGGGGCTAGGCCGCCCAGCGCCTAGACGAGAGCCTAGGCGGCCGCCAAGGTCCAAAAAGGGGCAAGGGGTGTCCAGTAATCCTATTTTAGGTAAAAATTTCGTATAAAAAAGCAAAATTCATGTATTTTTAAATCCAAACACCAAAAAAAACCCCAAAAAGACCCGCCCGTGGGTATTTTTGCACCTAGGCAGGCGCAGTCCCTTGGGCACCACCAGCCCAAGAGCCTGACGTCGCCTAGGCAAGGTACTAGGCTTGCGCTTAGGGTCCCTAGGCGGGCGCCCAGCGCCAGTTGGTCTGCCCCTTGCCCACCTAGGCAGTGAGCAGAATGCTTTTTGAGTCAATGCTCTTACCTCATGCACCTTAATTTTACACAGGTTGCACAAGGCATGTAATATTTCACAGTATTTATGTCATCACTACTGAAGGCATATATTTGTCAATTCTTTTATTACTCCGAAGCATCTAAATATGATATTATGTTGTATTTCAATGTATATGGACACACACTTAAGCCAACTTATCAATTAGGAGAATTCATTTATTGAAACTGATACACCAACTTGCATCCACTATTCCTAATGAAACTTGGAGATAATTGTTATTATATGCACTCCTAATTATGTGCAAGGTTTGCTCATGAAAACTATGGGAACGTGAAGGATAGAGGATGACAAAGCTAAAGCGGGAGAGACAAGTTGAGAATAGGTATAAATGGATAAACCTTAAAGAAAGGGATAAATTCTACAGGTATCCCACTCTCACTTTCTAAACCATATGTGTTGGGGTTTTGTGGCGATTTAAAGGACTTATGAGAGCATGTATTGAAAAACATATAGTGAAATGTTGGCTCTAGTGGAAGTATGGTCCACATTGGACGCTGAGGCATCTCTAATGCCTAAACACACCTGAGCTTTGACTGGCTATGGCTCAAATGTGATGTCCAAAAACCCGCAGTCCTGGGCACGTGTGAACACTACCAATAAGGGCTTCAATGTAGATCCCTTGATGAGGTTGAAGTTGTGCCAAGGACAGTTGGCCAAGGGACATGGACTTGACCCCTGTGTGTGATGGAAGGCCTGAGAGGACAAGGGCCTAAATCATTATCATTACCATCACACGGCATGTATACTAGATAGCTGTCCGAGAAGCCGCCCTTTATGGATAAGGGTGTGTGATGCGTACATATGTAGAAGAGATGACTCCCTGCAACACTGGACTGTGTTGGAAGGACCCATAGAGCTTACTGCTGAAATGGAGCCTAGACTTGTCCTCAAGGAAGGACCTGTAATCCATGGTCGAGAATCGTATCTCCTGTACTTAATTGGTTGACTTTGATAGTCCAATCATGAACCCCTGTGAGAGGCTGTGGGTCATGGGATCTATTGGGTCAGTTTGAGAATCTGCAGTGAGATACGATCTCTAGAGAGGATGGAGTCCTCAATATAAAGTATATTTGTCGTAAACCTAACTATATTGATTCAATTCCCATCAAATCTACTTAGATATGTTTAAATGTGTTTTAATTAATTTTCAGACAACTAAAATGAATTTTAGACCTCTCTAGGTAAAATTTATTGAAGATATTGCACTTCAGTAATCCTTTGTCTCACTCTAAACTTTCGCTTCATAACCAACCAGCCATCTAAAAATCCAAAACTAACATCTGTCATGATTAATAGTCTAATAACCCCATCAGTGATGTCTCTTTTGAAGCACAAACTCCCATTAAACATGATCTGTATTTCCAAAAATTTGATTGGTTATTTCCTTCCAAGCACTTCAACAAGTGCAGAGAAGAAAGCCAACCTTACAACTGAACAGTTGGGACTTCATCCACACGCCTGGAAACAAACAATTAAAAGAATCGCTCATTGCCAATTGCATCCTGCCAAGCCCTATCTCAAATTAAACACGGTAGAACAAAACCTCACAAAGGTCTCAACTCAGATGCTTCTCCAATCAATGTGAAAATAACGGCCTCCAGTACAAAATTCATAAAACATTTTAGTACTAGTATAATAATGTAAAGAACTACTAAAACATATTGCAGCAGTCTTTAGGACATGGAAGAGTCAAATATGAGCTGGACACTAACAATGCGAGGAGTAAGGCTCTTTTGTACATAGTATGAACAGAATAATGTCCCTGCGCACTTGTATCTCTGTGCAAAAAACAAAAAAAAGGTCCCCGTGTATAACCATGCAACGTACATCTATCTAGCATTTTATCTCTGTGCAAAATCAAGTATACATCATTGACCAATATATTATACAATACTATTTCCATATTTTAATGCAGTGTACTGTACTCCCATACATACATGCATAAGACAATAGACGAATACATACACATAAATAGACAGATGAATTTATCAGAAAGATATAGACAGGGAACTTGCGATCATACTCGCTCAGGATGGTCAAATGAGCTTACATTGTAATGCATAAAACGATTGAGAAATGAATACAAAATTGCAGTGTAACAAAAAGCCCCTCATTCCTAAGCAACACGTATTCGAGAAATATATATTTGCTATAAAAGGTTCCCAAGATACGTGTACTAATCTCGCGTGGCATTTATGCAAGAGGACAGCTAATTGAACTTCAAAAAACAAATGCAGTTCAGTGCTTCAATCAAAGCACTTAATACTTTCAGATCTAGCAGAATCTTTTAGGGGTAGGGGGGTACCACTGAGGAAAAGAGTTCTTGTTTCTGGATGTGAAGCAACACACTGTACAAGACAAAGTACCGGAACGAACATTAGATCAAAGGCAAATCGCATATGAGAGGCAGAACGTGCAGAACAATGACAACAGAAAGTCAGATTATTCATTTTCATTAAAAAATAAAACTTAATAACTGAAAAATGCATCCCCCCATGTGTTCAATGCAAAGCGATTAAGAAAAATCTGACGCAAACCCACAGCTGAACTACCTAGAAAAATTAGACTAACCACAAATTACTAACCTGAAGAAGAGCAAGGGCATTGCAGACACGATTAGATGCAGCTGGAGTGAGAGTAGGCGGAGAAAGTACTGGATAGATCGAAACGATCTCCTGCAGACAAGACCATTGCACTATCATTAGCAATAAGATTATATTACATGGAAATAAAACAAAATTTGACTGGACATATAACTTGCACTATGCTGATCCTAATAGAGGGATATTCAATGCCCTTTAAGGCATGGGATTTGAGAGAGGCACAATAACAACACAATAGACCAAAATTCAAAGTGTTAAGCTAGAAACCAAGTGCATTACAGATTATTGGATCAGCTATAATATTGCCTTAAAATTGTCCTAACAAATGAAACACTACTGTAGTCAAGGGATTCTCATTCCGCCACTGGCACATTCTTAGTTCAATAATTTCTTTTTGAAAACAGAGTGAAGATTCAAATAAAACAGTAGCTTATGGACTTACCATAAAGTTCCTCCAATATATAGCATGATAAATATATAGACTACACTAAAAAATGTGGCTCTTAATATTTATTTTTCTTATGGGAAGGTCATTTGTTTTGTGAAAGTAGGTTCAAATCCCTCGTACAAACCTAGTGTCTCACTATTAACATGCAGCTCTGAGTAGTTTCAAATATTCAATGATCACTGCAGAAGTAGAACTTTGATCATGATAAGTACATTTTATTCAATCCAAAATGCCCACATCTTCATGGTTCTTAAAGGTGACAAAACTATAGCAAGAAGTATTTAATGAAAAAACAACCCCGACTAGAAACTTTGATCAAACATTCCAGTTCATACAGAAAGCTCAAATCAGACAACTAACTAATGTTAATCATTATTCTCAATACTAACGTTACCAGTTATCAAAAAAAAGACTAATGTTAATCATTCTCAAGATTATAGAAAGAAGTCAAATTCTAAATCTAAAAAGTATTCATGGTTGATGGCACACTTACCAAGTCAATATTTCAAAAGGTTTCAGCAGTTCTACATCTAGTTACAACTGAACCACCCGAAAAAAAAGAGACGAAAGTTTCACATTAGTAGAATACCCAACCTTTCCCTGTCAATATGCCACCACAGACAAAGCAATGTATCATATGCACCTGAGACTATCGAGATTGAACCTTCGGACAAGATAGTACAAACACAACTAAAACAATTGAATCACTAGTGGGGGTCATCCAGCACTCATTGACAATGATCTCAAATTCAAACAAGTAAGATTACACAAGATTATTCTGAGTGAAAAATGCATCGCACTCCATAGAGGAGACAGTCATGACATATTTAAATGCCTAAAATTAGACTTTCATAAAAATACCAATCTCCCCATGATATCATGCATAACTGAATTTGTCAATTTCCTTGATTTAAGATGGTATAAATCAAGCAGCACCAATTTAGTGAAAAGAGGCCCAGAAGGCCACCTTGGTACTGCTTTGAGGCACAGTGGCGCAAATCACACCGAGCTATGCCCAAGTGGCCTGCCAGGATCTAATCACATCCAAGCACCCACCAAGGCAAGCGCCTCGACTGCCGGAGTGCCTGCCCTTGACCGCCCAAACAGTCATGTAGGTGTCTTAGTTTGCTGCCTAGCCCAATTTTATAGAATATCTTTTAATTTTTACTATTATTTCTTTAACTCCAACAACCTCAAATTTGAGGTGTCCACCTAGGCAGCTGAGACAGTGGCTAGGCCACCAAGTCCCTGTGGCTGACTAGGCCCTTTAAAACATAGTTACATATAACATGTGCAAACAAAATGACACAAAAGAGATATTGTATTCACTCCATCACTAATAATGGATTTAATATCCTCATTCTTTCTTTTCCTTTCTTTTCTTGTCTTTTCTTTTTCTTCTTCCTTTTTTTTTCCCTGACATGTGGCAATATCCTCCTTACTAGTGTTACCCAGAAGATGTTGGAAGCGATGGACAACCTGTTGCAAATGTCTCCTCGACGACATTTGCAACCCACAAGGTGTAACTGTTCCGGTGAGTTTAACAACTGAGTCATTCTCTGCTCTAAACATTTTTTATATTGGGTCCCATAGACTTTTCACATGTTCAGTAACATTTGGGGAAAAAGGACACCAAAACGGAATAACTTCAGTTCACTACTCATAATGAATGCCAGCTCCATTGGTCGGTGGTGCTAATGGTCATTCCTAAGCTCTTGATAAAGTTCACTCAATGCCCAGATTCAATATCATAGCATCACAAGATACGCCCAAGATTCCTATACTCAAGGATTGGTTGCATGCCAAGTGTTGGCTGCACAATGAAGATGAGAGATGTATTAGTTATCAAAAGCATCAAGGTAGCATCACTGGCATCTAGTGTGGAACTAGGCAACTAGATGATTTTCCATTAGAAACCACTGTAAGAGATTGCACAGAACATTATTCTGGGAGCAGAAAGAACATCAAGTGTAACTCAGTGCAACATCATACTCTCACATCTCCTTGAGTTAACCGAAAGCTTCTAACATAAAAGAGGAAAGGCAAAGAAAAGGCCTCTAAACTCTTTGATTGAAGACCATAGGGAAGGCTTGATTGCGCCCCCCAAGGTCCCTCCATTTCAAGGCACTCTTCAATTTCTTCTCTTCTTACTTTCTTTCTTCATTCTTTCCTTTCATTTCCATCTTAATTCTTTTATTTCCTCTCATTTCTTTTCTCTTCTTTTTTTTTCATTTTTTTCCCTGCTATGCTTCTTTTTCTTTTCTTCTCTCTTCGCTTTCATTTCTTTCTCTTCTTTCCTCTTTTCTTATTTTTATTTTAATTTTTTCCATTCTTATTTCTAATCCTCCCTTGAACTCCTCAAGGGTCTTCCTTCTTTATCTTTTTTCTCTTTCTCCCTTACTTTTCTATTTTCTTCAATCTTTAAATTTTGTTTTATTATAACCTTCCTAACTTGTAACATTCCCCATAAGAGAGAGTGTGTGCCATAAATGTGATGGAGGGGGGAGAGAGTGCAATAAAAATAAATGTGATGGGGAGAGAGAGAGAGAGGAGTATATAGGGGGGGAGAGAACATGAGCTGTTGAGGAAATGTAATGAAGAGAGAGCGCCATAAATGTGATGAAGAGAGAGAATGCCATAAAGTGATGGAAGGAAAGAGAGTCATTAATGTAATGGAGAGAATGAAATAAACACGATGGAGAGATAGAAAAAGAGCGAAGGGTGTGTGGAGAAAAGAGATAAAGAGAAATAACAAGAGTGCCATAAATGTGAAGAGAGTGCGAGAGAATGCAATATGCAATGGAGAGGAGACTGCAATAAATTCAATGGTCTCTCTCTCTCTCTCTCTCTCTCTCTCTCTCTCTCTCTCTCCGGGGGGGGCTTTTAAGCCAAGGCACCTGCCTAGCACATAGGCAGGATTTAGGCACCTAGGCTGGCGCCTAGTAAATTCCCCGAATAGGGCCCCACCTAAAGAATGTTCAGTTCAACAAGCTGCCTGGACCGCCTAGGCAGAAGGAGGCCAAATTTTCTTTCACTGGGTATACTACTACAAAAGCATTTTATTTCATGAGTCCATATAATGCAACTATGCCACGGAATATTTGTCATGGCCATGCTTGTACATTGCTACATGAGCAATACTCCATGCTCCATTAGATTTAATATGGCCTATGCCTGTATATTGTTGCACATGCAAATTACTCCACGTCTCCATATAATGTGGAGCACCATAACATAATTAACATGGATCATATTCATACATTGCTGCACAAACAATTTACTCCATTCTTCAACAATTTCAATATCAACCATGATTTTTTTTTTTTTTTTTGAGAAAGTTCCACCATGATTATATATTGCTATAAAAGCATTACACTCCATGTGTCCATTAATGAGAATAGAGCTACAACATATTAAACATATGTTGCTAGACTACAATACACAATGAATCAATTTCTATCAAAATTATAACCTTTTTTTTAAAATCCAAGTTAGGCCCCGATATTCTAGGGGCTTTGCAATAAAAATGTGTACAACGTACATACTACAACAATATCACCAATGAAATGTCGAAAGGTATAATAGTATTTTTATTTACCGCAGCAAACAACATCTATCAATATAGAGGGGGGAAGAGGGAGACAGGGGGAGAGACAGAGAGAGAGAGAGAGAGAGAGAGAGAGAAACGTTTTCTAAAACAATGCTAAATTGAGGTTTTGCTTTTTTAATTCTATGGGTTAAGGATGGATGTTTATTGTACTTAGGGTTTAGCGTTTGGGGTTTTAGCAATGTTTGAGATTTTGATCATTTGTCTCTCTTCTTCTACATTGGCATAAACCCATTGACACCTTCGATCGCCTCTCTCTTTGCTGGTTGGAAATAATTAACTATGGTCGTATATAATGGGTATAAATGTCTTTTACTTTGTTTAGGGATTAAATGTCCTATTTCATTTTTAAAAAAAAGCAGTAATGTAATTAGGTCAACAAATTAATATAAATAAGAGGTTTGTGCTAGTCTCTCTTAACTAACACACACCAACCTTCTTTCTCTTCTTCCTTCTCTTATCTTCCCTCACAAGTCTCTTTCTCTTTGTTCTGCTCCTTTCTTCTCTCTCTTACTACTCTCTAACATCTCTCCTTTTCTCTTCTTTAATTTACCCCATACTATTTTCAACTTGGTATTAGAGTCAAGTATCAAAGAAAAGGTGTATGGGGATAGATGTCAGCAATAGATGGTTAAGGCTCCTCATCAAGCACTGAAATACTATTTTTTTTTCCTCACCCGTCCCCCCATCCCAAAGATTGTGTTAATTATAGTGAATTTTTTTGGTGATTTCTTGATGCAGATCATGTGTTTGATAGAAAACCTAAGTCACATATGGATTACGGTTTGTGAACCCCAATCAAGAAAAACATTGGTAGTGTTGTTTTTTATAATGGAAAATTGGTAAGATTAGATCTAAGGGTGTCACCAGATCTGTAAATCTTTCTTTTGAAAGAGATCTGAGGGTGTAACCAGATTTCTAATGTTGATTAGACCAAAGGGTGTAAGCAGATCTCAACTACAAAAGAAGATGCATCAAGAAACATCAAATATGGAGCATTCTAGACTCCAAATTACC